CTGTGGGAGAGAAGTGAGAGACACGGGTGAGAGGTGAGAGACATGTGAGAGAGATACATAGATACTTGAGGTTACTTTAGAGATAGTTGAGGAAGAGAGTTAGAGAGAGAGAGTTAGAGAGAGAGAGAGAGAAAGAGAGAGAGAGAGAGAGGTGTGAAAGAAGACCTGAAAGAGATACAACACAAACAATGGAAACAAAACAAATAAGACAGGCAGAAACATGTAAACAAAACCGCACACACACACACACACACACTACCTACCTCTACAATGGTAGAATTTTTTAAATAAACAAAACTATAGGACCAAACACAAACAAATAACAAGCAAATACACATAAAACAAACACAAAACACACAAACACACAAACACACAAACACAAAACACAAAACACACAAACACACAAACACACAAACAGAACAAAACATCAACAAAAAACTCACACAAACATACACAAACACAAACAGACAAACAAGAACCAAACATCAACAAAAAGACTCACACAAACACACAAAACACAAACACACAAACAGAACAAAACATCAACAAAAGACTCACACAAACAGAACAAACAGAACAAAACATCAACAAAAGACTCACACAAACATCACCAAAACATCCTCCCAGACAGATGCTACAAGAATTGCATATATCACCAAATAAGAGACTATCACCGGGCTCTATACACGTGAGGCTGCAACACCATCGTGCGAGAGTCGTCATGTTGGTCTGCAGGGCTGGCCTAGTTTACCTCTCTCTTCAACTATTTTATTTAAATTCTTGTATTCCTTTTGAGATTAGGAATATCATATAGATACTGATTACATGAGAAGTTCAAGTGGGTGACTGAGAGACGGTGAGCCAGGGGGTGAGAGAACCAGGAATTATGGTAAGAATATCTTCTAATACAGTCTCACCCCTGATGATATACGAGTCTCACCCTTACTCTCTTTTTCTTCAACTGCGGCCACCGACGTCACATGATCAGCTCCGCCTCGTGAGCAAGGGTTGACATTGGTATAATTCGACTTTGGATACAGGTATTCAACACGTCTCCCAGCTGGTTAGGACGTGTTACACCAGTTGGTTTACACGTCTCCCAGCTGGTTAGGACGTGTTACAACAGTTGGTTTACACGTCTCCCAGCTGGTTAGGACGTGTTACACCAGTTGGTTTACACGTCTCCCAGCTGGTTAGGACGTGTTACAACAGCTGGTTTACACGTCTCCCAGCTGGTTAGGACGTGTTACAACAGCTGGTTTACACGTCTCCCAGCTGGTTAGGACGTGTTACACCAGTTGGTTTACACGTCTCCCAGCTGGTTAGGACGTGTTACAACAGTTGGTTTACACGTCTCCCAGCTGGTTAGGACGTGTTACAACAGTTGGTTTACACGTCTCCCAGCTGGTTAGGACGTGTTACAACAGCTGGTTTACACGTCTCCCAGCTGGTCTCCCAGCTGGTATACACGTCATTCAAAACTCTCCCAAAATCTCATACCTTCCAGATTTCGACCTGTTAAAACGACAGGTGAGATCCCGGGTGAGAGAGAGAGACAGAGAGAGATCTACACCATGTTCTCCTCACCCAGGGGGAGAGAATGAGATAAGAAAAGAAATTGTCATCCACCAGAACACAACACTATCTTGAAAATTCTCTTCTTCCTACATCCAATTCCTCCATCTCATCCACCCCATCACCCACCTTATCCCATCACCTCACTCCATCACCCACCTCATCCACCCCATCACTCACCTCATCCCATCACCTCAATTCATCCACCCCATCACCCACCTCATCCCATCACCTCACTCCATCACCCACCTCATCCACCCCATCACTCACCTCATCCCATCACCTCAATTCATCCACCCCATCACCCACCTCATCCCATCACCTCACTCCATCCAATTCTATCACCCAATCTTCATCTGTCACCACTTCATCCACCCCATCACCCACATCCACCCCATCACCCACCTCATCCAATTCCATCACCCACCCCATCCACCCCATCACCCACCTCATCCAATCTCATCACCCACCCCATCCACCCATCACCCACCCCATCCAATCCACCCCATCACCCACCTCATCCACCCCATCACCCACCTCATCCTATCACCTCACTTCATCCACCCCATCACCCACCTCATCCACCCTGTCACCTCATCACTTTTTACACTCTGACATGATTTTCCGGAGTTTTGCAATATGGCAGTCAATATATGCAACACGAAGGGGGAGGGAGGAAGGAGGGCAATATCCTCTCCTAGTGTCGTTGTATCCTCAGACCAGCTGACCGGGGAATGTTTATAATCTGACCACTAGACCGGGAAATGTTTATAATCTGACCACTAGACCGGGAAATGTTTATATCAGACCGGAAATTGGTTATCTTCTGACCACTAGACCGGGGAATGTTTATAATCTGACCACTAGACAGGGAAATGTTTATAATCTGACCACTAGACCGGGAAATGTTTATAATCTGACCACTAGACCGGGAAATGTTTATAATCTAACCACTAGACCGGGAAATGTTTATAATCTGACCACTAGACCGGGAAATGTTTATAATCTGACCACGAGACCGGGAAATGTTTATAATCTGACCACTAGACCGGGAAATGTTTATAATCTGACCACTAGACCGGGAAATGTTTATATTCAGACCGGGAATTGAGATTTAACATCTTCTGACCACTAGACGGGGAAATGTTTATAATCTGACCACTAGACCGAGAAATGTTTATAATCTGACCACTAGACCGGAAATGTTTATAATCTGACCGCTAGACCGGGAAATGTTATAATCTGACCCACTAGACCGGGAAATGTTTATAATCTGACCACTAGACCGGGAAATGTTTATAATCTGACCACGAGACCGGGAAATGTTTACATAATCCCAGGCCACTGGAGCCAGGGAAATGTTTATAGAATATTGATGACGTGAATAAGAGAGAGAGAATACGAGAGTGAGAGAGAGAGAGGGGAGCAAGAGTAAGAAAATAAGAACGAGAATAAGAGAGAGATGAGATAGAGAGTAAAAGTGTGTGTGTGTGTGTGTGTGTGTGTGTGTGTGTGTGTGTGTGTGTGTGTGTGTGTGTGTGTGTGTGTGTGTGAGAGAGAGGCCTTGACTACTGTTTTATGACTCACGCTGGTAATTGGTTGGTTGGCCCCGGTCCTCTAGTCTCTCTCTCTCTCTCTCTCTCTCTCTCTCTCTCTCTCTCTCTCTCTTTTTTGACTGTTTTTGTTTGATTGTGTTTTTTCTTGGTTTGTTTGTTTGTAGCTTTTGTTTTGTTTGCTTCAATTGGTTTTTGTTTGTTTGTGTCTTTGTATGTTTATTTGTTTTTATTCTTAAAGTTTTTTATTTGTTCATAGTTTGTTTTATGTCACTGTCTTTGTTTTGTGTTTTTTTTGTGTTTGTGTTTGTTTTATGTTTACCTTTGCTCTCGACTGTGCTTGCGACGTATAAAACTGTACTTGTAACTGAGGTAGTGACTGTACTTGTGCCTGTAAACTGTACTTGTAACTGAGGTAGTGACTGTACTTGTGTCTGTAAACTGTACTTGTAACTGAGGTAGTGACTGTACTTGTGCCTGTAAACTGTACATAACTGAGGTAGTGACTGTACTTGTGCCTGTAAACTATGTATAACTGAGGTATTGTACTTGTGCCTATAGCTATTACTTATAACTGAGGTAGTAGCTATACTTGTGCCTGTAAAACTGTACTTATAACTAGAATTGTAGTGACTGTGCTTGTGCCTGTAAACTGTACTTATAACTTCAGGAGTAGTGACTGTACTTGCCTGTAAACTGTACTTGTAACTGAGGTAGTGACTGTGCTTGTGCCTGTAAACTGTACTTGTAACTGAGGTAGTGACTGTACTTGTGCCTGTAAACTGTACTTGTAACTGAGGTAGTGACTGTACTTGTGCCTGTAAACTGTACTTGTAACTGAGGTAGTGACTGTACTTGTGCCTGTAAACTGTACTTGTAACTGAGGTAGTGACTGTACTTGTGCCTGTAAACTGTACTTGTAACTGAGGTAGTGACTGTACTTGTGCCTGTAAACTGTACTTGTAACTGAGGTAGTGACTGTACTTGTGGCTGTAAACTGTACTTGTAACTGAGGTAGTGACTGTACTTGTGCCTGTAAGCTGTACTTGTAACTGAGTAGTGACATACTTGTGCTTATGTAAACTGTACTTGTAACAGAGTAGTGACTGTACTTGGTGCCTGTAAACTGTACTTGTAACTGGTAGTATTGTACTTGTGCCTGTAAGCTGTATAGCATAACTGAGGTAGTGACCTTGCTTGTGCCTGTAAACTGTACTTATGGCTGAGGTAGTGACTGTACTTGTGCCTGTAAACTGTACTTGTAACTGAGGTAGTGACTGTACTTGTGCCTGTAAACTGTACTTGTAACTGAGGTAGTGACTGTACTTGTGCCTGTAAACTGTACTTGTTGGTCGGGATGAGTTGTGAGGACCTTGCTTGTGTTGACTCTGCCTTCCCCAAGCAACTCGGGGATAAATGTGTTTGTTTGCGTGGGTGCATGATTCTCTGGGGCTCGTGTTTGCTTGCGTGTGTTTGCTTTCGTCATGGCTTTTGTTTGCTTTTGTGAGAGACGGAAAAAATAAAGAGAAAGAGAGAGAGAGAGAGATGATGTTGAAAGTAGTCAGAGAGGAGGAACGAGAGAGGGAGAGAGAGAGAGAGAAAGAGATAGAGAGAGAGAGTTACAACGAAACGATAAAGATGGGCAGACAGGAGGAAAGGAGACAGAGATTGACACACACACACATACACACACACAAATGACATACACACACACACACACACACACACACACACACACACACACACACACACACACACACACTCACACATACATACTGTCCATGAAAAATAAATTTACATATCAAAGAGAGACAGGATGCTTTTGACCTCTTGTTGTGCTCAGAGCCGATGAGGATATCTTGTTTGTTTACA